ATATGAGAAAAGGAAAAAATAAATGGAAGTAAGGTCTTCGTAAATAGGGAAGATTGGAGGAGTTGAAAGGAAGGCAGGGGAATGGGGAAAAATAAGAACCAAAATATATTATGTAAAGGTACAAATTTCCAGTGATGAATATCATTATATTGCATACCTAAAATATACTAATGAACTTCACAGACAACAACAATAAAAAAAATAGTCACAACCCCAATTTAAAGCCAGTTCTGACTCCAAAGCTATTTGCACTAGTGTCCCTCATGCCATGGCTGAAAGGCAGGAGTTGAGTCGGGTAGGGCAAGAGTCAAAGTGCAAGAGTCCCAAGTAAATAGGGAAGAGCAGAACGCAGGGCTAGAAAGTACCACAGAACTAGTGGGGAAAGTCCATAGAACGAGGTGTAAATAAGTGCATTCCTCTTTAACCTGGATTTTGAAAGAGCTTGTAAATCCTTAGACAAAGAAAAGAACTTCAGATCCCTGAGTTGTATAATGAATTATTCGATAGTAGGAAAGGCAAAGGTGAAGGCTATTGGGAGTGTTTCAGAGGCTGTTAGAGGAAACAGTTTTGTTGTTCAACACAGAATTCGAATCCCCCTATGGATTCTCAATGGCTGTTCTCCTCTCAAAACTGTCATTTTGCCTCTGTCACCAATTTGTTGTAGGTGAACTAAGGGTAATAATACAAGTCCCATCCACTGAATATTTGGTAAAGTAGAAAATTTCTCATAAATTAAGGTTCGTGTCTGCTTTCTTCACTGTTGTGCCCAGTACCTACCATCCTGCCTGGCATATAGCATTGCTCAGCAGCATGTCATCAGCAAGATGGCTAACTAGCAGTGCCTGGCACACTTCTCGTCCTAAAAAAGGGCCGAGGCTGAGTGGCCCCATCCATCCACCAGCTCCTCTGGGAAGCAACTAGGAAGCAATTTCATGAATAACTTCATGGGTGAAGTCCCATGCAGGAAACTGTGCAGACTTTGGGCACTAACTGCCACCCCAGCTGGGGCTATCAGAGTATCTCAGCCTCTGCATGGCACTTAAACACAGAGGAGAGCTCACCTATATTTCTGTGATTGCAGTGCTCCACATGTCCAGGCCTGACAGAAGGTCACCCTGGCTGTTGTGCAGCTTTTAAACCCTGACAGGTGCCCCATCAAAAGGCCGTATTGCTGAATTTCACTAAATCTTTAAAGAAATAATATCAATTCTTCTCAAAATATTTCAAAAAATTAAAAGAGCAAGAATTGTTCTAAATGGATCATACCATGCCCTCATTTTCCTGATACAAAAACTAGATAAGAAAACACAGAAAGTAGAATGTAGACCAGAATTCTGGATGAACATAAATGAAAATTTTTTCAACAAAATATAAGAAAATCAAATATAATGGCACATTAAGATACATATATGTATATGTAATGGTCAAATGGAATTTATCCAAATGATGCAAGGATGAAAACCAATAAATGTAATTCATCAAATCAAAAGAATAAAAGATAAAAACCATACAGTCACCTCACTAGAAGCAGAAAAATCTTTGATAAAACTCAACAGCCCTTTATTTTAAAAGTCCTCAAACCACAGTGATATATACGCACCAGTGTTTATAGCGGCACAGTTTGTAATAGCTAAAACTTGGAAACAGCCCATCTGCCTATCTGTTGGAAACAGGATAAAGAAGATGTGGTTTTTCTATAAAATGGAATACTACTCAGCCATAAAGAATGAGAAATTAGAGTCATTCATAGGAAAATGGACACATATTGATGATATGCTCAAGTGAAATAAATAAGTCACATATGTGTAAATACCGAATAGTTTCTCTGGTGTGAAAAACTGTAATAGTACGCAAGATCCTAATGGGATAATTAAGAGTGTGAAATAGGAAGAAAAGGGCTAAAGGTGTAGGGAAAGTGGGAAGGGTAGGGGAAAGGAAATAAGGGAAAAGAAAATATATGAGAAAATGAAAAAATGGAAATAGAGTGTTTTTAATGGGGAAAGGAGGAGGGGGTGAAGGGAGGGCAGGGACAAGGAGAAAAAATGAGAACCAAGACCTGTCATGCAAAGGTACAGGACCGCAGTAATGAATGTAACTGTATTGTAGACCTAGATTGTACCAATAAACTCAATAAAAAGAACAAAACAAAACAAAACAAAAAAAGTCCTCAACATCACAAGGCCAGGCATTTAGCTCAGTGGTTCTACTACCTGCCTTGCCAATGCAAGGTCCTGAGTTGAACCCCCCGGTACACCCCCCAAGAAAAGTCCTCAAGATTGCTTCTTGGCCTTATGGCTCAGATCAAGTGTAAAAGTCCTTAAAAACTAGTTATAGAAAGAAATTAGTTCAACACAATAACGTCTAACAGTGACAAACCTACATGTAACATCATATTGAACTAGGAAAGGTGAAATTATTTCCACTAAGATCTAGACCAAGGTAAAGTTGTTCATTTCACTGTTCCTATTCAACATAGTATTGGAAGCCTTAGAACACCAGGCAAAATAAAGAAATAAAGGACATCCAAATAAGAAAAGTGGGAGTAAAATGCTTTTTCAAAGATGACATGACTTTATATCTAGAAAAATGTATAGATTTCATTTAAAAAGTTCAAACAAATTCAGTAAATTTGCAGAAGCAGTAGCATTTTTGTACATACAAAATGATTTTTTTTCAAAAAAAAGAAACAAGGAAGCAATCTCACAATTGCCATAAAAATAAAATGAAATACCTGTGAATATATTTAATGAGGTCATTATATTTAACAAGGTAGGGGAATGATCTCTATGATGAAAACTATAAAGCACTGGTGAAAGAAATTCAGAATGCAAAAATTGTGACGAGATCCCCTGTTCATGGATTGGAAGAATAAATCATGCTAAAATATTAGTCCACAGTACCTAAAGCAATTCATGTAGTCAGTGCAATCCCTACCAAAATATCAATAGTATTCTTCACAGAAATAGGAAAAAAAGCCAAAAAATTCACATAGAAAAACAAAAGACCTCAAATACCCAAAGCAATATTGAACGAAAAGAGCAAAGTTGAAGGCATTATATAATACCTGACCAAAAAAACACACTACAAAGTTATAGCAGCCAAAACAGCATGGCTCTGACACATAAACAAATGTAACAGAGGAGAGAAATCAGCTGAAAATCCACATATCTACATCCAAGTCATCTTCAACAAGGTATCAAAAACATACATTTGGAGAGAGGACAGCAATAGGTTGTGGGAAAACTGAATATCCATGAGAAGAATGAAACTAAACCTATATCTTTCACCAATTACAAAAACCAACTCAAAATAGGCCAAGAACTTAAATGTACCAAGTGTAACCAAAATATGGTGAATGATTAAATTTTTTAATGCATTAGAGTAAAAGACACATGCCATTAATCCCTCCTCAAAATAAGCCCCTCACTTCAAACACACCTACTTATCCCCTCATTCTTGCAATTTTCTGAAGCAGCTTTGGAGTCCTCTTTTGTGTCTTTACCAGGTGTGATAAAAAGGAAGGAAGAAAAGAGGGAAGAGGGGGAATAGGAAAAGAAGGAAGGAGGAAATAAAGAAAGAAAGGGAGGGAAGAAAGTAGAAGGCAGGCAGGCGGGCAAACTTGAAGAGCCCAAATTTAGGGGGAGGCAGGAAAACGGCAGATTCCTCTGGTCACAGCACTGGAAAGTGTTCCACCACTGATTCCAACACAGCTAGTGACACCAAGACAAGAACAGTGTCAATTCCCCATACTTTAATAGGAGAAGAAAACAACCAAAATGTCTCCTGAAGCAAAAGAGTTAAAAACCAGTGAGAAGATGCCTAAAGATGAAAGGAAATCCATCCTGCCTCACAAAACAAAGATAGCAATGGGGTCAGGAAGGGAAACCTAAAGTCCATGTTGCCAAAGGGGTGGAGCATGGCCCCACAGGAGCTGAACCTCGCTGCCATTAATGACAGAAGCATGGTGAGAAAGACTCCACGATCAGAAGAGATAATGTCAAGGAAACCCGAGTTCACATCACTTACTACCCTGCAAAAAGAGCCCAGATTTATCTGAAGTGGTGGAAATGAGGGAATCCCAAATACTAGTGCTGACCTCATTAATTATAAAGACAGATAACATCTCACTCACTCCAAAAAAAAGATAGAAAATAATTTAGTAGCGTTATGGAAAGGGAAGAAGCTACAGGAAAAGTCTTGTGCGCTGAACTGCAAACTTTTTCTAAGGAAGCAGGAGCTGGTGCACATACTCAGCATCCACAGGGGAACACACAGCCCCCAGCAGGCAATGGCTGAATGCTTTAAGGAGCAATACAAGATTTTCCCCACATTTCGGGTCACCAAAAGCCACTAGTTTCCCTTGAGATTGATCCACCTTTCTCTCCTGGAGGGAGACAGGCATCAGTACCTAGATGCTCTGCTGTGTGTACTGACGATCATCTACCATCGGCTGGGAGAACTTGGACTTGGCAATTCAGAAGAAAATGTGCAGGTGTCACATTTATTGAGAGAACTTAAGGAACTCTCCGTTGAGGTGAATGAAGCGGTAGCCTTAATAAACCCTTGGAAGAGGCCCAGAGCCTGGGACTCTTACTTTAGATACCGTTAAAAGTACAGCTGTTTTTTGGGGGGGAATAAGCATGTTTACACTTAAAACATGAAACTTTTGCAAAAGTAAAGAAGAAAGAAATGATAAATGTTTAAAGATGTGGAGGTAATACTTAACCGGATTTGATCAGAATACTCTGTATCAAAATATTACACAGTGTCCTATGTATATGTACAAGAAAAATAATAATAAATGACATTCAATTTAAAAAGGAAAATAAACAGATAAATGAATAAATAAATATTTGTGCACGATAGAGGGGGAAAGTGGGTGTGTGCCTGATGATTATCACAGCTGACAAAGCATTTTCTACCTTCCAATATAGATTGGCCAAGTTTGTAAACTGTTACTAAAGCTCCGCCCTCAAAGTTCTCCCTCCCACAGGTTGACCAGCAATACTCCATAAAACAGGTCAGGTAGGTAAGTAATAGGACGGACCTGCCAGTGATCCAGAAGCCACTGCACCATGGGCATCTCTGCATTCAACCCCACCAGATTCCCAGGAAGCATTTCTGGGCTCCTCCAAGTGGCCTCCCTGCTCGCCCTGCTTCTGCTACTGTTCAAGGCAGCCCAGCTCTACCTGCACAGACAATGGCTACTCAAAGCTCTCCAGCAGTTCCCGAGTGCACCCTCCCACTGGCTCTTTGGGCACAAGGTAAGGAAGGGGGATAGCAGGGAAGCCGGGGCACTCAGCCTAGCCAGCAACCCACAGGACAAACCTACCATGTAGCAGTCATGTGGTACTCAGGGAGCACCCAGCTCCTCTCAGGCTGGGCTCATCTCGGCCTCAGGGATCTCACTCCTTCACAAGAAGCTGGTCCAGCTGTTGCTTGGGTCTGTCACCTGCTCCTTCCTTGTGCAGATCTGTCACCGGTGGTGTTAGCCCTGCACTTGGAGGGGCTATGGCTGGCCCTTCCTGAGATTCATCCTTTCCAAGGTGAACTCCCCCAGCTCCCTCAGCTTCTCTCAAAAAACTTGCCCTTATTTATTTTATTTTGAGACAGAACCTTGCTTAGTCTGAATTGCCCGGGCTGGGCTCAAACTTTCCGCCCTGCCTTAGGATCTCAGAGTGCTGGAATCAGCCAGGTTTCTAAGTGTTTCTGGCTTAGAACTATGCTTCCACCCTGCTCCGGTCATTTGATGCCAACCTCTGTGCATGGGCCTGAGTTTGCCTGGGGTTACAGATATCAGGGTGATGGGATCCCGGCCCTGAGGGGTTCATGGTAAACATAAATCTCAGGAGGTGTCAGGCCACAAGCAAACTCTTAACAGGTAGGGTTATGATGTCAGGTGGAGGGACCAACTAGCTAGATTTGCCCAAAACTGAAAGGATCTCCAAAATGGGTGATATTGGAGGCTAATATCCTGAAGGTCATGGGCAGCACAATTCCTGCTGATGAGGAAGACTGATATTAGAGTTGCTCATTAAGCAGTGTTTTTAGCTACCAGCTTGGCCTCCACTCTCCTTGTGCTATGAGATCATTGGAGCTGGCAAAGGCCGTTGAGTCACCAAGGAAGGAGAGAAGGGAGCAGCCTGGGGGCTGCAGAGAGACAGCAATGACTCCCTGCAATGCCACCTCTTGGCTAGATAAGAGACTTCAGGGAGAGGAGCTCAGCAAGGGGTTGTGCATTGAATACACTTAAGGAGAGATGAAGGATATGGAGCTCAGAAGGAGAACTAGGCCTCTTATACACCTTGCTTCTCTCAGACAGCTTCCATCTAATGGGGCACAGATTCTGGCTTAGGGAAAGTCCTAGCAAACAGCAAAGTGTGGATGACAGCACAGATAGGTTATGCAACCAGCTCCAAATTCCTAACTTTTATTTAATGATCCACAGCTCCGTCCCTGTGGTAGCCCTGCCTTTCACTCAACTGCATGGGCTGGAACTAAACGAAAATCCTTGCTGAGTTTTCTTTCCCTTGGTGACAGATCCCCCCAGACCAGGAGCTGCCACAGGTGCTGAAATGGATAGAGGAATTCCCAAGTGCCTTTCCTCGCTGGTTCTGGGGAAGCAGAGCTCACCTGGTAATCTATGACCCTGACTACATGAAACTGATTCTGGGGAGATCAGGTGAGAGTGAAACCTCTTTCTAGCAAGAGAAGCTCCTTGCCCTGTAGTGTATGCCCTTGACCTGTCAATTTCCAGAATAGGAGGACACTTTGGCCATCATCCCTAAACACTTCCCATCATTCACCCAGGCCACAACTCAGCACAAGGCCAACAATTCTTATGCAGTACTATTTTAAAAACAATTGTGTGGGGCCAATTTTCTTTCTTTATTTTTAAATCAGATCAAAGAGTTCCATTGTATAAGTTGTTCTAAATCTGTAAAACAACTGTATCTACAGCAACTTGGGTTTGAAACTTCTAATTGTGACCTATCTTATGTCATAAGATGACTGAACCAACATCCACGCTTGAAAATTAAGCTCTGTTTTATTCCCTGGCAATGAGGATGCAGCCATTGTTTCTCCCCGGTTCCCCATCACAGTCCTGGGAGTGTTCATCTTCTAGTACAAGAAGCCTACCTTCCTGAGACAAACTGAGAGTCAGGACAGACTTAGAAGGGATTGGAAGCAATGGGAGGTAACATGGCACAAACTGCCAACCGGCAGGCATCAAGAATTCATGACAACCCGTGGCCTGAACATCAGTTTCCTCAGGGCCACATTATTTGGGCCTCGGTTTCCTTGCTTGTCTTTCAGATCCAAAGGCCAATTCTGCCTACAGATTCCTGGCACCCTGGATTGGTATGTATATCTAAGATACGAGCACAGTCCCTGCCCAGTAAGTTTCCCAAGCACCATGTCTCTGGCTTATAGAGGACAACGGATACCCAGACACCACTGTCGTGAACCACTCCTCTATCAACCCTCACTGTTCTTCTTCTCATCAGACTCTTATTCCCTCCTAATGCTGAAATGAGTCCTCCTGAAGCTCAGCTTCTGCCACATCTCTTGAAATATTGCCAGCCTGGCATCTATTTATGCCCCTCCTTGACCTGCCCTCAACACTTTTTTAACCTTTATCTAAGAGTTGCCATAATCACAGCAGATGGACCAACCCAAGTGGGAAATCCACATTCCTGAATGTATGTGTCCTTCCTGCCTTGTCCGAGAAATTCTGCCTTCCTGAGGGTTGTCTGCACCAGTTCCCCAGCACAGTTCCTCCCAAATTATCCAGGATCTGATCTGATTCTCACACACACACACACACACACACACACACACACACACACACACGTGCACACATGCACACAAACACCCATCTCTGGCCCAGGGTATGGTTTGCTCCTATTGAATGGCCAGACATGGCTCCAGCACCGGCGGATGTTGACCCCAGCCTTCCACTATGACATCCTGAAGCCCTACGTGGAAACCATGGCTGACTCTGTTCGAGTGATGTTGGTGAGTCTGTCTCTTGCCAAGTTACTGCTGCCAAACAGCAGAACTACTTGTCCCTGACTGGCCTGAACAACAAGGGCAGCTTCAGTGGCCCAGTGAACCTAAGAGAATACCACTTAATTTCCTGGAGCACATGGTTTCTGGGTGAATTTTGAGTAACACACAGTGAAACAGACACCAAATCCACATTCTCCGTCAACCTCCCATACCATCATGTCTTGCTGAGACTGATTCTGATCCAACTGTTCTCAGAAAACTTTTTAGAGAGTAAACAAGAACCAAAGTTACTGAAAGCCCCCATTAAAAGTGGCCACAATTGAAACAGATTTTCTTTATCTTTGAGACACTTGTTTTCTAAAATTGGAATCCTACTACTCCCTCAGTTCAAGCTCAGTTGTCAGAACATTAAAGAATCCTCTTCCCCTTTAAGCCCTGAAAATATGTTTTGATAATAAAGAAAAAAAAAGCCAAAACAAACATAGCTGGTTGCCAACATTCCAAATTTATTTCAGGACTTATAGACTGCTATGCTTAATTTTTAAGTGATTTGTGAGAATCTAGAAGTATAGGAAAAACGCCTAGTCTATTTAACACAGGAATTCTGGAGAAAACTAGAAAGTCAATGTTACCCTTCCACCATAGGACAAATGGGAGCGGCTCATCAGTCAGGACTCTCCTCTGGAGATCTTTCAACACATCTCCTTGATGACACTGGACTCTATCATGAAGTGCGCCTTCAGCTACCAGGGCAGTGTCCAACTGGATGGGTCAGTGGTAGGCTTTTGGCTACAAGGCCCTTATTCTTGCTACTGATATGGAATCACCTGAGAGGCAGGTGAGGGAGCTAACCTGGTACAACCAACCATTGCTTTGTACTATTCCTACTACAAAGCAAGATTCTAGCTCTAGCCCTCGGCCTACTGTAATTCCATTCTAGATCCAACCCTACCCCAGACACATAGCTCTGATTCCCAGCATGGCTGGAAGCCCAGATGCTCATGCCATCTTCTTTTTTGTTTTTTTTTTCAGTTTTAATTGAGTTTATTGGTACATTTTAGCGATACAGTACAGTTACATTCATTGTTGGGATCTTGTACCTCTACATGACAGGTCTTGGTTCTCATTTTTTCCCCTTGTCCCTGCCCTCCCTTCACCCCCTCCTCCCCTCCCCATCTAGAAGCACTTTATTTCCATCTTTTCTTTATCTCACATTTTTTTCTTTTCCCTTATTACCCTTCCCCTATCCATCCCACCTTCCCTACACCTTTAGGCCCTTTCTTCCCATTTCACAATGTCAGTAATGTTATTAGGATCTTATGTATTATTGCATAATACATAATAATACAGAGAAACTATTCGGTATTTACACATGTGTGACTTATGCTCATGCCATCTTCTAGAGGCCCAAGGACCACAATGGCTGTAAGACAGAAGTAACACATGCTTCAGTGCTGTGTGTCCCTACCTTTGAGGGAATTACCACTTTACCATCAAGTCAGACATCCTCTCTCAATTCAATCTGTCTTCTCCCTCAGGGAATCCCAGTCCTACATCCAAGCCATTGGGGACTTGAACAACCTGTTTTATTCCCGTGTGAGGAATGTCTTTCACCAGAATGACACCATCTACAGTCTGTCTTCTAATGGTCGATGGTCCAAATATGCCAGCCAGCTTGCCCATGAGCACACAGGTTCTGTCTCGTCCTCCTGTACCCCCCTCCCTTTTACCAGACTTAGCCCGATGGGACCATCAACCCTTCATGCAGAGCCAGGCCCACTGGTGCCCCTGCAGAACCTGAGACACACTCATGCTTGTACTTCCTTAGTACAAGGGAGCTGAGATGTGAAGGTGTCAGATAACGTGCAGGGAATTACCTGTGCTTTCACATTGCTGATGCTGCACAACATTGAAGAAGGGCTCTGTGGGCTGTGCTCCTGAGGGAAACTTGTCTTGCATCAAATGCTGCTGAATTCCCACTCCTGACCCACACACCACACTCATGCTGAGCTCTGCAGCACTTCCAGATTGGGTGGGGGGCATACATATGGGTTTCCTCTAGGTTGCTGTAGCTCTTGGCTCTCTCTACCTGGTAACTTGTTCTGGGACAGACCGAGTAATAAAGCAGAGGATGGCTCAGCTGCAGAATGAGGGAGAGCTGGAGAAGGTCAGAAAAAAGAGGCGCTTGGATTTTCTGGACATCCTCCTGTTTGCCAAAGTGAGTGTGTGTGGGAGAGGCCTAGTGCTTTGCTCAAAATCACAAAACAGGGACAAATCCTGTTCCATATATTATATCAGTTACCTGTGTCTCACCCCAGACAGAGAATGGGAGCAGCTTATCTGACCATGACCTGCGTGCTGAGGTGGACACCTTCATGTTTGAGGGCCATGACACCACAGCCAGTGGCATTTCCTGGATCTTCTATGCTCTTGCCATGCACCCTAAGCATCAACAGAGGTGCAGAGAGGAGGTGCAGAGCCTCCTGGGGGATGGATCCTCCATTACCTGGTAAGAAAGAGCTCAAGAGATCAGAGAGCTCAAACTCTCTGGTAGGGAGTTGGCCTTAGATTGTGCAGGCCTTGCCTGGCCTTCAGGATGAGCTTCATTTCAGGGAACACCTCGACCAGATGCCCCATACCACCATGTGCATCAAGGAGGCCCTGAGGCTCTACCCACCAGTTCCAAGTGTTGTCAGAGAGCTCAGCAAACCTATAACCTTCCCTGATGGGCACTTTTTACCCAAAGGTATAACCTTCTCAGAATCACTTAAGCTTTCCCTCAGGGATAAGATGTGCTTCAGCAGTTCTGAGCCTTGCTGGGTCTTTCTTTATTGTCAATAAGTGAATGCTTCTTACTTATAGAGTGCATCCATGTAGGACATAAGCCTAAATGACCTATAAAGTTCCTTCTGATCTGATATTGTGCATGGCTACTATCCTAATCCTCTCTTTTTCTTTAGCTAACATTCATTCTTCTTTAGAATCTGTGGTCTAATAATACTGCGGTTAATTCCAGTTTGGTCCTGGTGATATTTTGTGATTCTAACGCTTTATATTCCAATTCTAGAACCCAATGTTACATGATTTGTGACCATACCTCTTCTTCATATGTCTTCACTGTCACATCTTTTTAAAATCATCCTCTATATTCGATACAACGCATCAAATGCTTGGTTTGAAAAAAGGTGTGAAGAACTATATAGACAGGTCAGTAAATATGATGTAAATATAGATCTGTAGAAACTTCTCCACAAAAAAAGGCAGTATTTAGATTTGAGCCTCTAAAATTCTATTCCCTAACATGTGGAAGATGGCAAGAGAATCACATAAGGGCTAGAGAAATGCAGTTCTTGCCTTGAGCTGAGAAAATGATGAATGAATTCTATGTCATGGGTCATATGTGGTCCAGTCACTGAGAAGGCCTCAAGTTGAAGGCAGAAAGCAGCTGATGACCAGACCTAAGACCCCTGCAGTGGTAGCAAACCACCTGTTGATTCACACCCCTATTAGGCATGAATCCCGGACCCACCACATCCTACCTGTTCAATCACTGAAAATTTCTCTCTGAAACTTAGTTTGAAACATGGGATAAAACAATGCTTTTCTTGAAGTGTTGTTGTGAGGACTGAGTGAATTAACATGTGCTTCTCAGTGGCATATCTTATCTTTTATCAACATAAGTTCCCATTTGATTTGTTTGAAAAAGTAAGGTACAATTCTTTCTTGCTTCTCTCTCAGCGTCATAGTTTTCTGCTCCTCATCTGTGCTCAGGTAATTAAGCAAGTCCACCCTTACCTTTTGCATTAAGATCACTCTGATCAAAATGATCATTTTGGCACTCAGACCTTTTGTGCTGGTTGAGGGACTAGCAACCAACCCCATGGGTATAATCAGTCTTTTCTCTGTGTCTTACCTCCCCCCTAGGTTTCGTGATCACACTTTCCATTTATGCCCTTCATCACAATCCGAAGGTGTGGCCAAACCCTGAGGTATGAGGCCCCCAAGGAAGGGAGGTCAGGGAAGGTACTGTGCTTCCTGTCCCCTTGTGGTTTGGGAGAAGGGGCTTGACCCCTACCTTTCCTGGCTCTGGTTCTCTTTCTGTAGGTGTTTGACCCTTCCCGATTTGCACCTGATTCTCCCCGACATAGCCACTCATTCCTGCCTTTCTCAGGAGGACCAAGGTGAGGTGTCTGTGTGGTAACTGGGTAATAGGGGATGAGGGTAATACTTGTAGCATTCCCTTCTGTTTGTTACTTCCTATGCTTATGTATGACATCTTCAGACACACTCTTCTCTGTAGGTGTTGTGGAAAAGAAGCTTTGTGTGGATGCATCTGTGCACAGAAGGAAGGGGGCATTTTGTGGCATATCACAGAGACCTTGGCCCAGCACCCGTCCCAAATGCCAGCCAAACTCAGTGTCAGCAGACATTACACATTCCAGTGTGTCCTGGTGCTTTCCTCAAATTAGAAGTATGATATTAGGAATTAGAAATTCTCCTGTGAGTTTAAGTTCAGGTGATGTGCTTTCTGATTGCCAGGAATCTCAAAGGGCAGAGTCTTCTCACACATTCTCAAACCAGCCACCACCCTTTTCAGTTTATTCCGTGTTTCTCACATCACTGCAGCGAGTGATTAGTTTGCCTGGGTTTGTTTTCTGGGTGCCTGCTATCTGCCAATTCTTCAGTCAGATTTCAAAATTTTACAGTAACCCATTAGAGAAAGTTTTACAACATATTTTCAGTCTCTCCCAACACAATTTTTGGCTGCATGTTAATGTTCACATTCTTACAACTTTCCCAGGTGTCAAAACTGGACAGACAAAGACATAAATACCTTGAAATTACAGTTAGACCCCATGTAGTCCTACCTTGAATAAAAAGCATTAAAATGGGGACAGTAAACTGCCTTTGAGAGAAAACCACTACTCTCTATATACTACATAGCATTTGAGAGATTCTTTCTGTGCAAAATATAAAACACAGTTGAAGCAGCTGCTGAGTTGGACAAATGCACTGCAAAAGGGCTTCTGTGATAAAACCCAGAGGCTTTAGGAATTATCTAGTGGGATGTAACTTACTCTAATCTTTATAGAGAAGAAGTATTGACTTTTCTAAGTCAATACCTCTATGAATTCCTCAAATGGGAAACAGCTTTCATAGAACAGGCTTTGGGAAACTTGTCTTTTAAGAAGTTGGCTTTGTAGGAATTGACTGTTAATCCTAAAACAGTACTTCCTCCTATATTGGCTGCAAATCATATTGCTGCCACTAGAGGACAGGAGAGTACTAGTTTCCTATGTTTCATGCTCAGTTTTTGGGTAAATTTCTTACATTATTTTAAATTTAACTAAATTGAATTCTTCAAATCTAGTGAAGTTAATTAATTTAATTCAAATATAAAAGGAGGTTTTAAGCCAGTTTCTGTGTGCCTAGTCCTGTATTAGGTAACAGGAGCACAGATTAAAGATACCATCTCTCAAGAGTTCAGCCAAGGACAAAAATGTGTTCTACAGAAGGAATATCCATGCTGAAGGCACACATCATTCCTTTCTTTATTCTTTCACTCTTAGTGGGATGTTCCATGTTCCTGGCACTATCTCGGTCTCTGGATTGTGATGTGTCCTTGAAAAAGGACCAATGGTGCCAGGAGAGCCCTAGGAAGGAGAGGGAGAGTGGAGCAGGGATGATGACAAGCTGGGCATTTGCCTGAGCCTTAAGGACATAGAGGCAGAGTCGGAGGGTAAACATGTTCAGTGACCTCAGCAACATGAGCTGAGCTAGAACATGGTGCTACCAAGGTAGGAGTTGTGTGACAAAGCAGACATAGAGGACATGGATGCAGCGGAACCATCTGGACACTGTCCTGACTGATGAGGACACGGAAGGATCAATGGGGGGTAGGTGCAGGGACACCAGAGAAGTCTCAGATGAAAACACTGAAGGCAAAAGGGAAATGTCTGGAATAGAACTAGAAGGATGCAGATGTGGGGGGCCTGAGGCCATAGAGGGAGGCAGGAGTCTGGCCACTGAGTTCAAGGCAGATGGGCCTGCAGTTTGCCAGTCCCTAAACTGATGCCCCCCAAAAGAGGTTCCTCATTAACATTTGACTCCTCTCTTAGAAAGTTTCTTGGAACCCCTAATGGAATGAACTAACTAATAATTAACATTTGAAATGATTCAAGTGATCAGACTTTCCCTCTTGTAGGGTGTGGGGGCAGGGCAGATTCTGTGCCTGTGAGAGCAGAAGGCCAGGGGTAGCCACGTACAAATAGAAGGTTCTGTCAAAGGTCAGAAGAGGGTAAACCAAAGCCTGTGGCAGAGCTTTGCATGCCTGTAAGGAAAGGGATCAGGCTGGGCATATGAACTAAATGTCCAGCTCTGCGCTGGGGCTCAGGTACCAGTGCCTGACCAGCTCAGAACAGGGCCGGAGTCCACATCTCACTGCACTGTCACTCACTGGCCCAGGAACTGCATTGGGAAACAATTTGCCATGAATGAACTGAAGTTGGCTGTGGCCCTGACCCTGCTCCGTTTTGAGCTACTGCCAGATCCCACCAGGGTCCCCTTCCCAATACCACGAATTGTGTTGAAGTCCAAGAATGGGATCCACCTTCATCTTAGGAAGCTCCACTAACCCTGGTGAGTCAACAACAGGCTCTGAGGGTCTCGTGCCTACTATCTGATCTTCCTGTCACCTGCTTCTCTCCCCAGCCTGTCCATTCATCTGCTTTCTACCTGCTCATCTTCCTGTTGTCCTGCCTCCTTTCTGTCTGCCCTTCTCTCTCTCACTTTTCCTTAGGCTCCTTACCAGTTTGCCTGTACATATCTTC